AAGTTGGAATAGACTAGATGAAGTAAATGTAACTGATGTGGATTTTGTATTAGCGAAGAAATACGAAAACATGCTAGAGACGTGCGTGAAGTTACAAAGCAGCCAAAGCAAGATGGTGACTGGTAAGGGGAGAAGACCGCTTGACCATACTATAATATCAGTGTATATGCAAAAGGGACTTTGCAGATGATCTGGCTCTTCTATCGCACACTCAACAACAAATGCAAGAGAAGACGACCAGTGTAGCAGCAGCCTCTGCAGCAGTAGGTCTCAACATACATAAAGGAAAAAGCAAAATTCTCCGATGCAACACAACATGCATCAAAAAAATCACTCTTGATGGAGAAGCCTTCGAGGACGTTAACACCTTTACATATCTGGGCAGCATCATCGACAACCAAGTTGGATCCGATGCAGATGTGAGGGCGCGGATTGGCAAGGCAAAGGCTGCATTTCTACAGTTGAAAAATATCTGGAACTCCAAACAACTTTCAACATAAATCAAAATCAGGATTTTCAATACAAATGTCAAGACAGTTCTACTGTTTGGAGTGGAAACTTGGAGAACTACGAAAGCCATCATCCAGAAGATACAAGTGTTTATTAACAGTCGTCTACGCAAAATACTTCGTATTCGTTGGCCAGACACGATCAGCAACAACGTACTGTGGGAGAGAACAAACCAGATTTCAGCGGCGGGGGAAATCAGGAAGAAGCGGTGGAAGTGGATAGGACACGCACTACGAAAAGCACCGAACTGCGTCACGAGACAAGCCCTCACATGGAACCCTCAAGGCAAAAGGAAAAGAGGAAGGCCAAGGAACACATTACGCCGAGAAATAGAGAAAGATATGAGTGGAATGAACAAAAATTGGATAGAATTGGAAAGGGAAGCCCAGGACAGAGTTGGTTGTGGTAAACTGGTGGGCGACCTATGCACCATTGGGGGTAACAGGCGTAAGTAAAGTAAGTAAGTAAGTAAGTATATGCAAAAAGTACAAAGGTGACTGAATAAAACAGAAGTATGGATAAAACAAAGTAATACGTAAAACGTTCACTGGTCCCATTGATTACAATGATGAATGTACTCCAGCTCCGAGAACGAAACATCACCACTGAAATCACTATACCTATTTGTTTTATCAAGTAACCAATCGCTCATATGGTTCATTTCAATGTATGAACTTTGTAAAATATCATATAGGATTAGCCTGTTTTCTTTATACACTACATAAAATACAATTAGAATAAATTTTCTCGATCAAATATTTATAACATGGAACACGTATATGTTGATCAAAGTACGAATATGTAATACAGATCCATTTGAAGATGATGCAAAAATAGTTGATTGAAACACTGATTTCATCAACAATTATTCACTAAAGTTTATCTATAGGTGAATCAAACAATTCGGTTTTTAGATAGAGACTACAAGTAACCATTGAAAAAGCATACTATACTGTTTAACTGGTTGTAATCGCAGAGGCTAACCCAATGATTCGATAAAGATCTAGACATTACTCGACTGGTTACATACACATCATATCCCATTGTATTTATCAGTTCATATGTTTGTGTGGACACGCACATACTACATAGGGAGGAGTAGTCGGGCAATGGAGTCAAGGGTTATGGAACATGGACCGAAGTGACTTCAAAATCAATTAACGTCAGATGATTAGAACCACACAAAGAAGCGAACAATGTTGTTTTCAATTAGATCGTCATCAGGCTTTACTCAAATTTACCGCAATTCGAGTCAATAATCACAGTGAAGTACATTACATCACTACACCTAATAGGTATAAGTACAAGTTCATAGTTGGAAGACAGGTGTGTACTGATAGTAGTAAGAAAAATAAAATAAAATAACAAAAGTTTTTGTCAATAGTAGGTCAAACGTGGATAAATAGGCTTAAAATAATCATTACAAAACAACAAAACCATTACATAGTAAGAAGTGTGTAAATAGTTTGGTAGTAAAGTAAATAAACGGGTAGAGGCAGAAAATTACAAACAAATACAGGATATGAAAATAATACTAATAATAATAATGACAAAAATTAAATAAAAACACACAAAAATTTCTTTGAAAAAACGTTGTTGAAGTTATATCCAGCCAAGGACGAGAAAGGGGTGTCACGAATTTCTTCTGAACACATAAATTGGGGTTGAATGTGCGAATTCCAATAGCTTCTGCTATGTGTAGTAGATGGGATCGAACTCCGTTGGGAAATAATGGAGGTATACGGTAGATCACTTGAAACGATCCATATTTATCTACAATATGATCACTATCAACAAGATGTACAAGGATAAAACTGCGTATTGTTCTTATATTGCCTTTCATAAACCATACTGGGAGGTGTTCACTCATACGTTGGTTAAGCTGCCTGGTAGTATGCCCGGTGTAGCTATCTTCACAGGAGCGGCTGAATTTGTAAATGCACATAGGGGAGGTCAACTCAGGTGACTTATCTTTCGTTTGGGTAGACAACGCTGGTCGACTTAACAAAGTCAATCCAAGTTTGGCTGCGTAGAATGTTCTACTAATTACTTCAATAGTCTGTCCTGCACAGTAGCGCTAGCCACATTTAGGTTGTTGTAGTTTAGTAAATAAAGGCTTTTTTCGAACAGTCTAACTACCCGACTTCTTCTATACATTAAAAGCCAGAAAACCATGTTTATCGATCTCAAAACACATAATTGAGACAGAGAATAAGACTGACGTCAAGACTCCCTTAAAAACATACTATAGAAACGTCGAAGGTGGGATTCTGAGGTTGACAGAAGCCTTGGCTATTCGTAAATTTAATCCTCTCCTTTTGAGGACGTTAGGTTCCCATGACTCACTTCATAAAGGTCCTAATTTAGGATTTTGTTATGTTTTCACGCATAAGCTGTTAAGTTGACCTTCAGCTTACATTTCCCACTCAGGAAATCCTTCAATGTCATTGGCTGATAGATTAGTTTAGTACGCTATTTTTGTGGCTCTCCCAACGACATTCCGATCATGTATGAATAAACTCGATTTGTGTGCTTGTGGACCTCATATTTTCTGGATACTTGTAGAATACACTCTGGACGCTTTATGAAGACTTCTTCATATAGTTAACAGGGCCTGAGACAAGCGGATTAGAATAGTCTATCATGTCACTGGATCATCCGACTTCGCTCTCATTGACTTACTAAGGTAAACGCGAAATAGCATTCAAGCATATCAATTGACGAGAATATCAAAAATACCTTGACATGTGTACATATGTGTGACCCGATCGTTCGAAATGTATATAGCACGCAAATACATCAAGACGTTTTTCAGATCTCATTGTTCTATCAAAATAAATATTTTTGTTCCAAATGAAAACTAATATTATTGATTTTTTTTAAAAATGTAATTTTGTCATAGTTTAACTCAGATGAAAGGTTATATGTACTCTTCTCTTAAACTAAACAGTTTATATGAACGCTGTCAATAATACCCTGTCGATTTAAACGAAAATAGATAGATTTTTCATTAAAACCATCAACCAATCATTATTTGACCACTATTAGAAACCTTTAAACACTGAATGACCATTTCTTCCTGGTATGGGCCTCGTCAGTAGTGCTCATCCATGACTCCTGCACCTTGTAGCCGTAGCTTCGGTCTTGCTAGTAAACGCCTAACCTCTGGATCATCGGGCTGGCATCTAACTGCGTTAATGTGTAACTCTGATCAATCTACAGATTTTACGTGACCTCACCTATTTGTCTCCTATAGTTACTGCCTACATCAGACAGGGTTGATCAGTTCAATGTGTTAAACACATTAATCTTCATAACTCCAATTGACGATTAAAAAAAATGATAGATTTGAGTTCTAACCTTAGACATAGTGTTGTAGTTCAACGACAAACTATTCATTATTTAGCTTTATCAATATGACGAAACTTCTTTCAAAATGAAGTGTCAATACTATAGTTCTTACAACTGTGCACATATAAAATACGTCATACTCCATATCGATTGTCACATACTTTTTGGAAATGAATTATTCATACAAGTAAGAATATGTTCAGTGTGTCATTTAATAACTGCTGTTCAGTATTAATATTACTATTATTTCAGCAATGAAATGAGTATAAGGATTGTGATTAAACACGACACACTTCATGCTGGTTGATTTTTAATTGTACTATATATTTACTGACAATTGGTGACAAATTACACAGAGAGAGAGAGAGAGAGAGAGAGCACAATTAGACAACAAATGAAATGTTTTGAATATAACTACTATCTATACATAAAAACAGTAATTAGTTAGTTAGCTATACGAATGCCACACATTGAGAACTATTGTCTATTATTGTATCATTGATAAAGTTTATTGTTAGTTGTCAATCATATTATTTAAAATTGTAGAACTACAATTTACTACTTACATTCATCGATTGACAATGTGTCATTATTAATTCAAACGGCAATTATAACAACACGAGAATAAATAGATTTATACTTGTAAGGTGTGTGTGTGTGTGTGTGAAACACCATTGTAGTATTTTTATTTTTTGGTTTATAAATGGTAGAGAATAGAATAGTTATTGATTTTAATGATTTATTTACTACTGTTTAATTTCTAATTGATAACAACCGTATTCAGCATTCACTACTCACTCTTCATGATTAACCTATCTAAAGTAACCTTGAATAATGTGTATATTTTCATTGAATTATAACAAGACATCTTTTTAAAAAAAATGCTTAGATGTATTGAAAGCTATGCTTGTCAATCTATTAGTATTAGTAGATTTGAATTGTGATAGAACGAAAAATAAAAAAAACTGTTTATTTCATTGAGAAACGAATGCAGTGCTCAAGTAGAAAATGAAGTAGCCAATCAGAAATTAGGAATGAGTATCTCATATTGATCACATGTTACATAGTGACTCAAGGTCATCATGAAGTTAAAAAATTTAATTATGAACGCAGAATGATTATTAATATACTGCTAAACATTTGATTTTAACTATTGCTCTGTAGATTATTTAATATTTTTCCAATTATTATTTGAATTTTGAAGAAAAATTTCAGTGACATTGACAATTGATCAGTGGTGTATTAATTGTTTTAATGTAATATGGCATTAATTGAAGATTGGCCAATTGTTGTGGATAATGGTGCAGGACATTTAAAAGCTGGTTATGCTGGTGATGGTGGACCAAGAATTCTTATACCAATGTTAATAGGTCGACCAAAAAATTGTTCAAAATATACTGATTGGTTTGTTGGTGAACATGCAAATGCTTTACAAAATGAATTAATTCTTAATTGTCCTATAGCTAATGGAATGGTTACAGATATTGATAATTTATCATTAGTATGGTATTATATGTTTATGAAAGAATTACGTACTAATCCAGAAAATCATCCTATATTAATTAGTGAATATCCATTATTACCAAAATTTAATCGTGAGAAATTAGCTGAAATGATATTTGAAAAATTTCATATGCCTGGTTTATATTTCACTGATCAATCAGCACTTGCTTTATATGCATATGGTCTTACATCTGGTATGGTTATTGATGTCGGTACAGAAATGTCTAATATTACACCAGTGAATAATACAATTTTTATACCGAATGCTGTAAGACGTCAAAATTTTGGTGGATCACATATCACTGAATTATTTCGTTATATGCTAGCTGAACAACATCCTTTAGCAGCTACATCGATATCACGTGATTTTGCACGTCTTTTAAAAGAGAAACTATGTTTTATTTCAATTAATCCAGAGGATGACAAAAAACAATTGAATTCAATTTCTGATGTACAAAATATTCATCATACACCTGATGGTCATGTTTTACGTTTAACTAAAGAAAGATTTATGGCACCGGAATTATTATTCTCTCCAAGACAGTCAGGTTTAATTGGTACAACAGGATTACATAATATCATACATGAATCAATTCAAAAATGTCCATTAGATTTACAGTCAACATTATATTCAAATATTGTATTAAGTGGAGGTAGTACATTATTTCCAGGATTTGCACAACGTTTAGAAAATGAATTAAGCCGATTAACTACACAATCAATTCATCAACGAATAGTGGTGCATAGAAAACAAAATGATCAAAAATATGCTGTATGGATTGGTGGTTCAATTTTAGCTTCATTAAGTTCATTTAAAGAAATTTTTATACAAAAGAAAGAATATGATGAAAATGGTGCAAGAATTGTACATACAAGATAAAAATTCATGTTCACTAAACCAAAAAAACAACAAACAAAAATCTTATTGACAAAATTTATGAGACACTTTTGAATGAACCGCCAAAAAACTAAGGATTGATCAATATTTTTGAAACAAAATATGCATTTTGAATCATTAAAAAAAAAAAAGAATCGAGTTAACACATACGAAAACACAACTATTCTATTATTTATTCTATTATACACAAATGTAGTTGAATAAACTTATTATCATCATCATCATCAATATTCCAATAAGTGATTTGATTCCATTGAACATTGAACGGTAATGGGCATGATTATTGAATGTTGACATTTCATTTTGTGTACTTACTTACTTTGTCTAATTGAGAAATTATGATGTAATTTACAGATTCTGTATAAATTGTTTCTTCTTATTTTTTTTTGTGTGTCAACTAATCTTTAATGATATGGGAACAAGAAAGATGTATAAAATTATTTTTTTACTCAATAAAATTATATAATTCATTACACTTTACTTTACTTTACTTACGTCTGTTCTCCTCAATAGGGAGCATAGGTCGTTGATTAATATTCTTCAATAATTCTCTGTGTTAGGGTTTTTATTTTATAGTTCTGTCGGATTTTTGTTCATTCTTCTGATGTCTCTGTCAAAATTCCTTGACACTTTGAAGGTTCTAGATGAGGGTTTGTCTTATAACGCAATTGGGTGATTTCATCAATGTGTATGTCTTATTCATTATCTTTAGCGGTAATCAGAGAACAATGTAAATAATCCAGTTTTTTTCATCGAATTTCCAATGTTTCTTATCTCTCTTTCGTTTTCATCTTTGTAAATCTTGAAGTTTGAAGATTCAACAGGAATGAATTTATGCTGATTTGATGTTTTAATATTTCAGTCTCATTAAGTATGTACCATCTAAAGTGTTTTATGCTTCGTTTGTTTGTTTTGATTGATTGATGAGTTAAAAAACTTTCGTTGAGTTGCTTTAAACGATAGAAACTTAGGCTAAATTAATAGCTATGGCTAATCACTTCCATAGCTGTAATATTTCGTTTTAGCCACTAGTTGAATCTAAACACTTACTGACAACTTATGTTTCACTTTGTAAGCATGAATGAATCATCGTTAGATCACCATTAGAAACCTAGAATCACTGGATGGCTGTTTCGTCTTGGTATGGGACTCATCAGTGGCAGTGTGCATCCACGACTCCTGCTTATAAAATTCAAAACCAGTAGCTTCGGTCTTACGCACGAATGCCTACTCTCTGGACCACTAGGTCGTCATCCAACCGTGTTTATGTTTAACTCTGATCAATCTACAGATTTTACGCTACCCCACTCATTTGTATTCGATAGTTACTGACTACACCTGACAGGTTTGAATTCCACTGATCACATCTTTTTACTAGAACTCCAAGAATTTCCTCATGAATCTAGTCACTAGTGAGTATTTCAGTTTCCTTGCAATAGCAGAGATGTTTTATTAATGAGTGTTAATGCAGTATTCGCTTGAATTAAAGCAAATTATTTGAGGATTCCAAAGATGCATTTACTTCGGGGAGTCGTTTTTCATTGATAAGAATATTTGATTAAATATTTATTCTATGCAATTTAGCTGCTAGACAAGATCTGTTATATCTAGTGAAATATTGCAGAAATGTGATTATCTTTATTTTCAATTCGAGTTATGAAGATGAGTGTTTTTACACATTTGAAATGATCAATCAATCAATCATTGTTAGACCATCATTAGATCAAGCAGAGTTAGACATTAACAACGTTAGATACCGGTTGAGTGGTCTAGCAGAGGTTAGGCGTTGGCACACAATTACTGAGGGTTCCGGGTCGTGAGATGCAGGAGTCGTGGATGCGCACTGCTGATGACTTCCATACCAGGACGAAATGGTCGTCTTTCAGTGCTTCCAGGTTTCTAATGGTGGTCAAACAATGATTCGTTGGTGATGATGATTTCAGAAACTATTATTATCACAGATATTCTCATTTTATAAATAAAAAATAATTAGATTACCTAATGATATTCGTTTTTTTCATAAGTTTTTGATTAACCTGTTAGCTTAATATTATAGGATTAACTATACTCAAACGTTTGCCAACTGAAGGGTTAGGGTACATTAAACAAAACATTGTTTATGAAAAATCTTGATTTCTTAAAACAAATTATGAAACCAAATAATCTTTCAGTGAATTATCAGATGACTTGTCGTTTCCAATATCGATCTATGCAAGCATGTTCGGGATGCGGTTCTCCCCGTCGAAATGCAGAATGTTGCTTCAGAACTGACTTGTTTCGGCACCTGAACTAGTGATAGGGAGTGAAGTAGTCGAACAAGTAGACCTCTTCACTTATCTGAGGAGTCTCATCAGTGCTGATGGCCTGGTGACTGACGAAATCTCAGCTCGGATACAGAAAGCTCGATTGGCTTTTGCCAACCTGCGTCACTTATGGCGCAGGCGAGATATCCGCTTGTTAACCAAAGGACGAGTGTACTGCGCAGCAGTTCGCTCTGTCCTACTATATGGATGTGAAACATGGCCAGTGAGAGTAGAGGACAATCGTAGGTTGCCTGTTTTCGATCACCGGTGTCCCTGAAGCATTGATCGTGTATCCTCGGAAAATCGAGTAAGCAATTCTGTTATTAGGATACAGGTGCTAGGTAATATTGGCAGATCAATTGATGAAGTATTGAAACTTCATCAGTTAAAGTGGTTAGGATATGTGTTACAAATGCCCGACCACCGACTGACTCGACGAGCTACGCTTTGTGGTGTAGGAATAGGTTGAAAGAAAGCAAGAGGCGGTCAGACCAAATCGATGACAACTAGACTGAGTCATGTTGGTAGATGTAAGCTACCTGGTTGGGGTCCACGAGATGATTGTAATCGATGGTTAGAGACCTTGAATGACAAGGCTGAAAATCGTTTGCATCAGCGCAAATGCATTCATTCTTTGTGTTCAGTCAAATTTAACCTTCCGAATTCTACATCACCTTTATCGTTTTCTTTTCAAGATTATTTCATTAGATTCTACTTCTTGACTAATATCTTCGAACTCTAAAATTTCCGATTATTGCTAATACTTCTACTATCTCAACTACTATGCGATTTGAATTGACAATGCCATCTCTGTGTGTGGTAATATGGTATGACAACTTGAACTAATGTACATACGTATACGTATACCCACTGTAGTAGTTTCACATTTTTTATTGTTGATAAAAATAGATTTTGCATTTATGTGAATTGGAAACATCACTTACCTGACAGAATGGATAGAATTACAAATATTCAACTCTAATACATTAGTGATAATATAACGCTAAGTAACAATGTCTAACGGTATTTGCATGTTTTATTCGTAAAACTATTGATTTGGGTTACAGTGTACACAGAGTAACAGGAAGATATCGTCATGATAATTTTCAAATAGTCTGTTTAGTCTTTATGTAGCTGACGAGCACTTAATGATATACAATAAATTCATGTTATTCTGCTTAAAACTTTTATTCATAATCTCTATTCAAGATTGTACATATTATTGTCAACTTCATGAATATGTGAATCTTTAGAAGTGTTTTAAAAGTAAGTTTAGTCCAAATATAACGAAGCTGTCTGTATATCATTCGCATCAAGCGGTTGTGAAGATTGTTAAGTTACACATTTGAAATCATGAATTGATCAATGATAGACAACCACTATAAACCTGGTAGCACTCACTGATAGACGACCGTTTTGTGCTGGCATGGGACTCATCAGTAGTACTCATGCACGACTCCTGAACCTCGCAGGATTCGAACCCAGGACCTTCGGTGTTGCGCTCGGACGCCTAACCTCTGGACGATTTAACAGAAATTGAAATTAGAACAAATATTGTTTCCAGTTCAATTTTGCTTGCATTACATTCATATTTACATGGAATATATGAACCTGTTAAACGGATGAAGGTGGTTTATGAGTGTTAGGATATTCATCCAATATCCTAAGAGAATGATTGGTCTATTCCTATTGGTCAATTCCTACTAGTCAATTTAATGGTCGTCCTAAATATCAATGTCACGTGCCCTAATGTTGTATCTTATTGGTTGTCTTGACTATCGATGTCACTTCAAATGTTGCTTCCTATTGGTCGTTTTAACTGTCAATGTCACAGACTTCGATGCTGTTTCCTACTCGACCAAAAGGTATAAATACGCATTATCTGTAACGTTTTATGACCAGGACCAGGACCCGGTCCCGGATCCCTAGTCCGGGATCCTGACTCTCTTCTGGATTCGGATATCGTACTTTCTGAATACTTGTAGAAAACAGGTTCTACTTCATATCACGTCTTCCTATTTTCACTCAATATGGGGGTTGGAATAATTGGATTTGAGTAGCATGTCGTGTCGCCGGGTCCTCGATCCTCGCTCTTGTTTTCCGACTAGGTAAACTCGTAATAGTTCAAGTATATGAAGTTGACGTGTTTACGTGCAGGCGTACCAATGACTCTATGGGTTTATTGTTGACTAACTGCAGTCACCACTTTGCATTTCGGCAAAAGGCATGCAATGTAGAGTCACTTTGATTAGTGATCTAATCGATAGAAATCGATTGACAAAAAGAAGGACTTGATGAACACGACATAAATCGTCATTCAGAGATCAATTAGTAATAGTTTATCGGTCACTGATAACGAAATAGATAACATAAGTACACGTAATGAGTAAAAAAGTACAAATCGACAATGTGATAATAGATATACTAGTTTTATTTAGAATCAAACAGATTTAAATCAACATTTCAAAATAAGAATTATGATCAACGATTTGAAGAAACAAGACATCCAAATTACCTGTCTAAACCATCATACCACTCAGAGATGAGATCGTTGTGCCGAAAAAAGAAGGCTGAAATCAGTTGTTAGTAATCATGCTATTTTTATAATGTGGAAGGAGAAGGGTTAAGAATATTTTTACGTCTAACTGATGTGAGGTATGAAGAGGATTGAATGTAAGAATATTTAGAGAAATGTTTCATGTTAGATGGATCGTTAAGCTTTCGTTTCTATTAAAACTGATAGAATTTAATAATCGCTGAAGAGTTTCGGTCAATTTCGTTTCTTAATAATTGGAAAATTCTTGGTGGATTATTTTGTTACGATTATTATCGATTAGGTGATTGGTACAAATAGTGTGAACGGATCTTATTAATTTAACCCATAGAATAATCGAGAAGTCGTTTTATGAAGCTTAGATAGTCTTTGTCAAAAGTCACAATTTCACGAGAGAAAGCCTTCCTAATAAAAGTCCATTACAATCTAAATACTCTGATCCATAGACCTAATTCTATTCGAAGTGACTGTCTTTCCAAAAGTTTTAGTTACTTCATAGTAAACTTTAGCTCTGTGTGATTTGATGATTCGTTTAAGTTTTTCTGTTGTATTCGAAAGGTATTGTTGTTGAGGACGTTAGATTCGCAGAACTCACCTGATAAAAGTCCTGGTTTTG